AAAAGACTGATTTATTTCCAAAATAAACAAGATTCATACAAAACCAATAATAATTTTATGCAAAAGAGTTTTAGAAATTACTCACCTTATCAATCTTTTGGAATCAAACACTTGAAATCAATTTGAATCCCCAGCCAAGAATAATCCGGTCAACTTCTCTTCCCTTTTTAAATCGCACAACTTAATCAAAAGGCAAGAAGAAGAAATATGGAGGCTAAGCCCTCCTTTTATACACTTCTAAAACAGGAAAGTCGGCTAACCCAGCCTTTTTCTCACAAAACCCACATGCATGCATACACCTTGCACATATATATAAATATATATATATATATACCATGCATACATATAAATACATAACATATGCATTTCATTTTATGCACATTTTCACATCCTAGCATGATCAAACGTAATAATTTATCATGCTATCACATAATCATTTAATCAAATAATCACATATTCTTTGCCTTAGGTGATAACCATGATCAAGTTATCACATTATCCACCCCTTAAAAGAATTCCGTCCCAGAATTTCTTTAATAAAAAAGCCATGGATATTCTGAATTCATCTTGGATTCTAATTCCCATGTTGCTTCTGGTCCTTTGTGAAACTTCCACCGAATTTTAACCAGATTTATTTCTTTGTTTCTCAACACCCTGATCTTTCTGTCGATTACGGCTTCCGGTGTTTCAATAAAATTCAACTTACTGTCTAATTGAATCTCTGGTAATGGTATAGCTAAATTCGGATCAGCCAAACATTTCCGCAAATTCGACACGTGAAAAGTGTTGTGAATTAAACTCAGCTCTTCTGGCAGCTCTAACTGATATGCTACTGGCCCAATTCGTTTACATATTCTGAACGGCCCTACATACCTTGGGATGAGCTTTCCTTTCTTTCCAAATCTGATGACACCCTTCCACGGCGAAACTTTTAACATCACAAAATCACCTATATCAAATTCAATCGGCTTTCGACGATTATCAGCATAACTTTTCTGGCGATCTTGTGCTGTTCTGATTCTTTCACGGATCTGTTCGATCTTTTCAGAAGTTTCTTGGACAATATCAGGACCCGTCAGCTGTTTTTCACCCACATCATTCCAAGATAATGGTGTTTGACATTTACGTCCGTACAACACTTCATAAGGTGTCGCTGGGATGCTAGAATGGTAACTATTCTTATACGCAAACTCTATCAATGGCAAGTGATCTTCCCATGATCCCCCTAAATCAATGATACAGCTTCTCAACATATCTTCGAGATTCTGGATAGTTCTCTCTCTTTGCCCATCTGTTTGCGGATGATATGTTGTACTTAACCGAATTTCAGACCCGAGAGTTTTCTGTAAACTTTCCCAAAACTTTGAAGTGAAACGGCTATCTCTATCAGAAATAATAGACAGTGGAACACCATGCCTAGTTATAATTTCTTTGATGTAAACCTGAGCCAGTTTCTCTAAAGAGAAATTTTCTTTTATAGGTAGAAAATGTGCTGACTTAGATAGGCGATCAACAATTACCCAAATCGCGTCATACCCTTTTGGAGTTCGAGGTAACTTTATGACGAAATCATTGTAATGTGATCCCATTTCCACACAGGAATCTCCAAAGATTGAAGATTTCCATACGGTTTCTGATGCTCGATTTTAACCTGTAGGCACGTTAAACACTGTTCCACATATTTAGCTATATCTTTCTTCAATTCGGGCCACCAATAAAAAGATTTTAGATCTCGATACATCTTATTGGTACCTGGATGAATAGTGTATCAAGACTTATGGCTTTCATTTAAAATAACTTTCTGGATATCCCCAAAATATGGTACCCACATTCGCCCTTGAAAACATATAATTCCTTTGTCATTTAGTTCCAAGGTTGAAATCATTTTACCCAACCTTTCTGATTTGATAAGATCTTCTTTCATAGCTTCCTTCTGACATCTCAAAACTTCTTCATGAATATCAGGGACWAAACTTATTCTCATTGCCACTGTTTTAATAGTTCCGCTCTTTTCTTTTCTTTTCTACTCAAAGCGTCAGCTACCACGTTGGCTTTTCCTGGGTGGTAAAGGATTTCACAGTCATAATCATTAACAAGTTCAATCCACCGACGCTGACGCATATTTAAATCTTGCTGGCTGAACAAATGCTGTATACTCTTGTGATCTATGTAAATTTGACACTTTGTTCCCAGAAGATAATGCCTCCAGATTTTTAGAGCGAGTACTACCGTAGCTAACTCCATATCATAAGTCGGATACTGCTTCTCATGAACCTTCATTTATATTGATGCATAAGAAATCACTTTTCCTCTCTGCATCAGAACGCATCCTAATCCTAACTTGGAAGCGTCACTGTATACCACAAAGTCTTCGGATCCATCCGGTAGAGTTAACACCGGCGCACTACAGAGGTGATCCTTTAATAGTTGGAAAGCTTCTTGTTGTTCTTTTTCCTATTGAAACTTAACATTCTTTCGAGTCAATTTGGTTAATGGCACGACTATTTTAGAAAAGTTTTGAATAAACTTCCAGTAGTAACCTGCAAAACCCAAAAAGCTACGGACTTCAGACGGAGTCTTTGGAGCTTCCCATTTTTCAACTGCTTCTATTTTTATTGGATCAACCTTTACCTCTGATTCTGAAATGATGTGACCCAGGAATTGAACTTCTCTTAACCAGAATTCACACTTGGACAATTTAGCATACATCTTTTCTCTTTTCAACAATTCCAGTATCAGACGAAGATGTTTTGCATGTTCTTCTTCAGTCTTAGAGTATATAAGAATATCATCGATAAATACAATAACAAATTTATCAAGATATTCCTTACAYACCCTATTCATCAAATCCATAAAGGCTGCGGGCGCATTAGTTAGACCGAATGGCATAACTAATAATTCGTGATGCCCATACCTTGTTCTGAATGCTGTTGTGGCAACATGTTCTTCCCTGACCTTAAGCTGATGATATCCCGACCTCAAATCGATTTTGGAGAAATAACTTGCTCCTACCAGTTGATCAAACAAGTCATCAATCCTCGGTAAAGGATATTTGTTTTTGATTGTCAACTTATTTATTT